AGAAAAAACTGGGGGTAGGGGAGCACCAAAGCCTCAGGATTTACCCCAAAACCCCCAGCCCTGGGCCAGCACCAGCCACCTTCATTAGTCAAAAGCGGATGGCTCCCACCTCTCTCCACCCCCTCCCCAGTGGTGGTAGGGGAGACCCTGGGAGTAACTTTGTCAGAGGGAGGGAGGGGGGAGCAGCTCCAGAGCTTATCAACAGAAAAACAAAGAAAGGAGGTGAAGAAAGTCCCTCAATACAAGTTGTCTCAAATTATCACAGTGATACAGACTTATCAGAAACCAATGAAATACAAATTAAATACTAATAAAATAAATACTATGGAAGACAGAAGAACACAGGGGAATGGAAGGGGCGCTCAGAGATTTAGGCTTTTCTCCTTTCTCCTCCAGACAGGCCACGGCCACCCAGGGCCCAGGTTTGGTCTTAGTCATATACAAGGAGGCCAGTCCAAGGGACCCTGGTGCCACTTCCCACCACCCCCGGGACCTCTTGTCCTCAGATGTGGAGTTTAACATTCCACCCCCATCATCAACCACACAACAATAACGATGACAGGGAGATGAGAACTAATTGTAACGCCCCCCTCAAAAAAAAAAATCCAGTCACTAATGCTGGCGTTGATAAGGCGGCTTCTTGTTGGTCCGGATTATTGCCTCATTCTGCGGTCTGGTGCTGGGTGGGGGAAAACATGGACGGTGGGGAAGGGTGAAATTGGGAGGAGAAAGAAGAAAAGGGAGGAGCTGTTTTCCCCATCAACTGTTCCAGGGGTGGAACTCCACCTCGGACCCCAGGAGCCGAAGTATCTCGGGCTCATACCGCACCAGCTCCACAGTCTCCGAGGAGCCCGGGGGGCACTCGTCCATGGCTCCGGGCCTCTCGGCAGGGGTCAGCAGCTGACTGGAGGCCACCTGCCTGTAGAACTCAGCCTTGGGCAAGGTGATAATTTCAAAGTGCGGGAACCGGGCCTGGAAGATCCTAGAGGAAAGCTTCAGCCTCTTCAGGACGTCAGTAAAGAGAAACCAGTTGCAGGGCCTGCAAAAGGCAAGGATGGGAGTTAGGGAAGGGGGTGGAGGGGAAGTGGTGGGCGTGCAGGGAACACTCTGGAAGGCTCAGGAAGGCTGCCCATCTGGCAACGCCCCCCAACCCCCACTAAACGAGAGGCTCCTTGGGTGTAGCTGAGGCAAACATTTGCTTCTGCCCGCTCCACTGGCTGGCCCAGCTTTTCAGCTAAATGGCGAGCACTCCACCCATGACTGACCTCTTCCAAAAAGTGGGAGCAGGGGGGAAAGGGCCTTCCAGAACCTAAAACTCTTAGCAGGCTCCCCTAGGCCTTCACCGGCACCATGCCCCAGAATTGACCATCTGCGGGGTCCAGTTCTCCTCACCACTGACCCTTGCAGCCCCACTGGTTTCTCTTTCCTGTTCGCATTCTGGCTTCCCCTGCCTCCTTTTTCTCCAAGATCTTCCCCAGCAGAGGGGGGCCATGGAGAAAGGCCGAAACTGCGGGTAATCCAAAAGGCATTTCTCTTTGGCTCTGGAATGCATTAGACAAGTTTTTTCTCCAGCGGCAGCACCGTCGTTTCTGCAGGGCCGGAGCTCACATTACAGCCGGTCTGCCTTTGCTGAGCACACCCGACTGGGTGGCAGCCTGGGGACAGCTGAGAGGGGTGCTGGAGAGGCCAGTCATAGGCCAGCCGCTTGCGTGGACTAAACCAAGAAGCAATGCTGCATCCCCATGTCAGTGGTCCCTGCATCCAGGGCTTTGCCTTCTTGCCATTCAACTGTCCCACGTCCAGCCTTCGCCACTTTTGGCCTGTACTATATTACATATTACATCAGCCTCCTAGCTGGTTTCCTTGCTGCCAAGAGTCACTTTTCTGTTCCCCAATCCTCACTGGACCCTCTGTTACTATTAGTTTTCTAAAAAGAAACCTGACCTGTTCACTCATTCCCTAAACAGTTTTCAATGGACCCGCAGTACCTTCAGCAAAAAAAACACACCAAACTTCAAATTCTTTGGCGTGACATTATGCAAGACCTTCCAAGCATCATGACCCCCTTCAACCTCTTTAAGCCAATCATCACCCAACACACACACACACACACACACACACACACACACACACACACACAGTGTATCTTCCACCCAAGTGCCAGCCATTTGGGGAAGGACTAGCCCTGTTTTCTGAACTTTTGGAACCTGGGTGTCTCAGTGTCTTTGCTCATGCCACACCCTCAGTCCTCCTCTCCTCTCTGGCCTAGCTCAGATGCCATATTACCTGTTAAGCCTTCCGCCAATGTAGCTGCTTGCTCGTCCCACCCTCCACAGTCTCTGGCACTTGGTTCACACCCCTATTATACTATTTATAATGGAGCCCATTTCGGAAAGGTGCAACTGCTTAAGACATGTTTATGGAATTGAAGGTTCTACACAGTGCCTAAAACTTCTACCAAGACCCACAAGTCTTATCCCTAAAATGCAACACTTCTTCCAAATGAGTGAAAACTGTCATCTTACACAATCAGGGAATGGAGTGCTCTGAGTTAAGAGAAAAGGACTATAAATACCATACACTTGGATCATCAAAGAATGGCAAACCCTGCCCAGCTAGTGTGTCTCAGTGGTTGAGCATTGACCTATGAACCAGGAGGTCACGGTTTGATTCCCAGTTAGGGCACATGCCTGGGTTGCGGACACGCAGGAGGCAGCTGCTCAATGATTATCTCTCATCATTGATGTTTCTATCTCTCTCTCCTTCTCCCTTCCTCTCTGGAATCAATAAAAATATATTTAAGAAAAGAAGAATGGCAAACCCCCTAGAACATTGACACTAGTGATCAGAATTCAGGTTTGTTTTGATGATGCAGAAGGCACTCTGAACCCCACAAGGCCTCAGCAAGTCACTGTTTCACACCCCCCTACTTCTTGAAAAACAAAATTTTCACATCGTGCTGCAGCTGTGGGGCAGGGTAGATTCAGAAGAGGCGCTAGAAGATGGAACATCAGGAAAACCAGCGTTACCCACACCCAGCTCTTGACCAAAAAACCTCCCTGCCACCCTGCTTGCCGAGTGGCATGCCGCCCAGGTTGCTTGTGTTCTGTCCACACCTAGAGCACACAGCCCTGGTCCTTTTACTGCCTGGGCTCAAGATCCTGTTTCAAAGAAGGAGGTGCTGAATACTTTGGAGGAATTAATTAACTGTGCAATACTATATCCCAGAGGCCCAGCCCCGCCCTCAGGGATCAGCTTATGCCCAGAAGAATAAGGACCAAAAACCCCTGAAACTTGATCCCTACAGTGTCATCATATAGGCTATTTTTATTCTTATCTGGCCATGGGGGAAGGGATGCAAAGAAAGTGTGGTGGAATGGTTGGAGTCCTCAACGGAGGAGCTCACTTGAAGGATTCCTAAGCCACTGTCCACTCCTCCCTCTATTGTGGGTTTTCACTTAAAAAAAAGATCTGATATTTTAACAATAGATATCAAAGGAAAAGTATCCTTGAAAGTGTTTGCAAAGCTGTTTGAAATATGTGAAGAAGAGACCAGAGAGAAAATACTTGGTGAAGGCTAAGAAAAAAAGGACAATTCTTCCTTCATCACCCTAACTAGCACTGCCACACGCTGCCGTACGGCGAACCTGACAAGAACCGTGGCCCTGCAGGCTGCCCAACAGCCTTCCAAGTCATCAAATAGAGACTAAATTGGGTTCAGTTTAATGTTAAGTGTCAGGTAAATTCTAGTCTCCGACAATGGCTGATCCCCGATATAAAATACATGTTAATCTGAGATGATAGCACTGATGGCCATCCTCTCCCCAGCATTAAGTCTGTGAGAAAGCAGCCTGGGGATTACTTACAGACCCCAGGGGCCCCATACCTATGGCAACCATATATCCTGACCTTTCCTAGACTCTCGATTTCAAATATTCTGTCTGGCTGTCCCCAGAAACCACAAAAATGTTCCAGAGATTCTAATAGTTCAGCAGTCCAAATATCTCCCAGATCCTCTCTTTCACCCAGGAACAGCACAAAACTCCTCCAGAGAGTGAAGCTAGATTTGGGGTTTGGGAAATATATACGCTCAGCGTATGTAGAGCTTACAGCCCAGCCTCTGTTGTGAACATAACCAATCTGGGCTGGAAAGTGAGGATGGCCTTAGTCATATATTATCTTTCTCATGTTGCAGCATTTGTCTCCAGGTCTCGGCTTCCTTCTGGAGAATTCCACCCTCCAAGGAAGGCAGACCAGGGGTTGCCAGGATCCTGGCGCTCAGTCCCCATAGGTCTCTCAGACACTTACCCGTGGGACACTGACACTTGGAGGTTGTAGCAAGGGAGAAGAGGCTTGTCTGAGAGCTCAAACATAAAATCATCCTTTTCGCCATCATCTCCTTCCTGATCAGAACTCCCAGGGGGGTTATGTAGGAGGTCACAGGCAAACCCTTCTTTTTCATCTGTAAGGAGAACACACAGGGAATTAGGACTTAGCTAGATGCACAAAACGGAAGAACAGAAATGTTCCAACAACACAAAGGGGTATGGCCCTGGTTGGTGGGGCTGGGTTGGTTGGTGCTTCATCCCATGCACAGAAAGGTCTCGGGTTCGATTCCTAGTCAGGGCAGGTGCCCGGATTACAACGTGTTTGATCCCCAGCCGGGGCACAAACAGGAAGCAACCAATCAATGTTTCTCTCTCACATCAGTGTTTTCCTCTCTCTCTCCCCCTCTCCCTTCCTCTCTCTCTAAAAATCAATGGAAACATATCCTCGGGTGAGGATTAAAACCCCCCCAAAAGACAGCCCAAGCCAGTTTGGCTCAGTGGTTGGAGCATCGGCCTGAGGACTGAAGGTTCTCTGGTTGATTCCGGTCAAGGGCACATATCTTGATTGCAGGCTCTATCCCCAGCCTAGTCCAGCTCACGGTGTGTACGGGAGGCATTCAGTCAATGTTTCTCACATCAGTGTTTCTCTCTGTCTCTCCCCCACCCTTCTAGTCTCTCTAAAAAAATCAACTGAAAAATATCCTCCTCGGGTGAGCATTAACAACAACAAAAAGACAAAGGAGTATAAAGGTGGGTGATTAGAAGAAAAACAGCAAGCCTACAGAACCCTGGCCAGGGCCAAGGTTCGATAATCCCACGGCACATGAAAGTTCGAGCCCTGGAAGACAGTAATCTTTTGAGGCCAGAGATTCATTATACTACTCCACCTTTCAGTTGGAAAAAAGCAAGGTGATGTGAAGGATGAGCTGCTCCACTGCTGGAGATGAAAGCCTGAAGATACCATCATGGTCAAAGGCAAGGTTAAAAACACCTGCTCTTCACCCCCCCCCCCCCGCAATTTTCCAAAACCACCCCAACTGCCTGCTGGAATCTCCTAAAGCCCAGAGGGGGCTTAGCCAGCTCCCTTGCCCAGATGAGTGTGGGTGTGGTATATTTCACTCTGTCCCCACCTGCTCCTGCTCCAGCTCCCCTGAAGCTTAGAGGGTGGTGCTTCCCTCAGTCTGCAGCCCCTGGCCTGACGGTGAATGATAGACGACTGACACGGATAAAGACTGGCTGCTCTTCTCAGAGAGGAAAACTTGGGCCAGAAGGCTAAGGGCTGGGGAGATGGTAGCTATCTCAGAAACTGTATACCAGTGATGGCGAACCTATGACACGCGAACTCATTTTTTTTGGTTGATTTTTCTTTGTTAAATGGCATTTAAATATATAAAATAAATATCAAAAATGTAAGTCTTTGTTTTACTATGGTTGCAAATATCAAAAAATTTCTATATGTGACACAGCATCAGAGTTAAGTTAGGGTTTTTCAAAATGCTGACATGCCGAGCTCAAAAGGTTCGCCATCACTGCTGTACACATTGTGGGGCCAGGGGAGGGAGGGAGTGGCAGCTGCCAGATGAGGGGCTGGGTCTCTCTTGAGTGTGAGCAATACCACAAAAGGTGACAATGTGCATAGGGGTGGTGCTTCTGGCTGGGTTAGGACAAAACAAGGGAAGAGAAAGGGACCTTGGAAGACAGCAAATTAAAAATAAATACCCAGGGTGGGGTTGGTAGAGGGCTAATGATAGCTTTTTCCAAATAAGCAGCATCTCCTAGTTTAGGCCAATGGGTTCTGAGTCTGGGGGAGGCAAGCACTAGAGTTTGGGCTGAAAAGGTCTATAAGCTACTAACAGTAACAGGGTAAGAAGGTCAATTTCCACAGGGTCACTCCGGCCTTTAAGAAGAATTAGTGAAATACAAAGCAAATCCCACATCTCTGAGCCATAGGTAGGGGTGGGGGTGGGGGAAGAATCCCACCGCAAGCTTACCCAATACGGAACTGCTGTAAAAGTCCCAGGATACACCAGGATCACCCTCTGCGCGGCCCTGAAGATCCGAAAGGTGATCTGATAAAAGAAGGGAAGGCAGTGAGACAAGGAGGGTAGGCTGGATAAAGAATCTGAAGCAAAGTACATACACATGGGCTTAGGAACATGGGAGAAGGGGAGGACCACAAGAGGGGCTGGGAGTGATGAGAGAGTGATGTGCTTCTGGCTGTCAATCACAGGTTGCAAGCCAGCAGCCAGGAGCCAAGTCTAGCCCACTGACCACCTGGGGGTTGGCCCAGTGTTTTAAACAAACAAAAATTAATAATAATAATTAACATCCATCATTTTAAAACTGAGAGCTTTCACTTAAAAAAAATCCAGATTTCCAACTTCTCTTGAAAAAAATATTAGAAGATCTGGCAACACTGAATCCACATTCCTGCATGTCAACAGTTGGCTGGAAGGAGAGGCGACATGTGCTATTGTCCAATTCAACAGTCCCCACCCAGCCTGCTCTGCTCTCTTACAGGATCAGCCTGAAGGCATTTAGGTCTGGGATCCCTGCTTTAAATGGTGCAGGGCAATTACTCTGCAAGCAGAATCCTAGACCTATCCCAGGACTTTTAATTCCCTGCTGGTTACAATGTTTATTTATCCAAACCATTTTTTAAAATGTATTTTATTGATTTTTTTACAGAGAGGAAGGGAGAGGGATAGAGAGTTAGAAACATCGATGAGAGAGAAACATCGCCAAATCATGATCTCCCCAATTCAAAGTAAGATAAGGAAGCACAATTCCTGTTTCATCTTTGAAAACCATCTAGGAGCCCTAACCAGTTTGTCGGCCTGTGGACTGAAGGGTTCCGGGTTCCATTCTGGTCAAGGGGTAAAGGGCACGTACCTCGGTTGTAGGCTGGATCCCCAGCCCTGGTCAGGGACCCGTGTGGGAGGCAACCAATTGATGTGTCTCTCTGACATCGATGTTTCTCTCTCTGTGTCTCTTTTCCTCCCTTCCACTCTCTAAAAATAAATGGAAAAATATCCTCAGGTGAGGATTAACAACAACAAAAAACATCTAGGAGATGGCCAAGTTTATCCTCACAAAAACCTTTCACATGGGTGTTCAAGCAAAAACTAACACTCAAATGCTCACAGCAGCTCTGTTCACAATAGCTCCAAAGTGGAAACAACCCAAATGTTATTCAGCTGATAAAGGGATAAGCAAATGTGGTATATCCATACAATGGAATATTATTCAGCCACAGGGAGGAATGAAGTGCTAATACATGCTCCAATTTAGATGAAATTTGAAAACACCATATTAAGTGAAATAAGCCGGACATAAAAAGGCCATATATTATATGGTTCCATGTATATGAAATATCCAGAACAGGCACATTTAGAGATACAGAAGCAGATTGGTGATTGGGAGGGAACAGGAAGTGACTGCCTAATGGGTACAGGGTTTCCTTTGGGGGTGATGAGAAAGTTCTGACACTCGATAGTGGTGATGTTTGTACAACATTGTGACTATACTTAATACCACTCAATTGTACACTTTAAAATTCTTAGAATAATAAATTGTGTTATAAGTACTTTACCACAAAAAAATTGTAACCACCTTTTGCTTGCTTGATCTGAGGACAGACATCAGGTCACCACTTAGCCTCCTTGTTTCCTAGCTACGCTTCATCTAGTGGAACTGTTTCAATTTTCAGTCCCACGTGGACAAAAAGCAGGTCTTTAACAACAAATTCAATTGTGTCATCTGTGGGCACATGGCCCTGCGGTTACCAATATGCCACCTCGTGCAATTGGCAAGCTGACTTAGCTGTGTATGGTTGCCACCAGCCCTTAAGGGACACATGGGCAACAGGACGGGAGAGTCCACAGGGCACAGATGAGGTGAGAGTGCCCCCTGAAAATGAAATCCCAGGAGGAAGAGCAGGCAGCCACTCTTAAAGGAGCAGAGCTATTTTCCCATGATGGAAGGTCCTATCCACTCCAACATACCTTTATCTTCACACATCCTATCAGCAAAAATACCTCTTAGCTGTTGTGACCCGGTGAAAGGAATCCGTTTTTAGCAGCGTTCTAGGAGATGAAGGGTTTCTTCCAGTAGGAAAAGGCAGCCAGAGAGAAGCTTTCAAAGTAATGGCTGAGCAGCCAAAATGGAAAATCTTTAGTCAAGTATATTAGATCTTTTGTTCATTCTATGAAAAAACTCTGAGGTCACGGCTGCCAGCTTATGTGCTCTTCTGTACCCTGTCACTTTAGAGTTGACAGTGGTTTCTTCCTAAAGCATTGGTCAGTCAGGCAGGTGTCTATTCTGTGCCTAGCCCTGTGCTAGGTGTGCTAGGAGATCCAGGGATGAGATCATAAAGATAGGGACCACATCTATCTTGTTCATCACTGTCTCCTTAGTACCTAAGCCCAGGTGCCTACATATAGTAAGAACATAATATATGGGAAAGAAAGGAAGGGAGCCCTAGCCAGTTTGGCTCAGTGGATAGAGCATCGACCTGTGGACTGAATGATCCCAGGTTCAATTCCAGTCAAGGGCATGTACCTCAGTTGCAGGCTCAATCCCCAACCCTGGCCAAGGTGTGTGCAGGAGGAAACCAATCCATGTGTCTCTCTCACATTGATATTTCTCTCTCTGTGTCTCTCCCCCTCCCTTTCACTCTCTCTAAAAAATCAATAGAAAAATATCCTCGGGTGAGGATTAACCAAAATAACAAAAAAAAGGGAGGGAGAAATTACCACAAGGCAAGACTACAGACTATAAAGTAATGTGCTTGCTTAACCAGCATGCGGAAACCTATATGTTCAAATGACTGCAGTCCCCACCAAGAAGTCACACGATCACTCCATCAGAGCAGCCCTAGGTCACTACATTCCTAGGACGCCTCTTTGGAAACTGCCTTCAGAGCCCCCGGCACATTCCTCTAATTCTCCTAACAGCAAATCTTTGTCATTTGCAGGTGAATTTCCCTTTTTGAGATGGCCAAAGTTCACTGGCATGAGCAAAGATGCAAAAGTCCGAACAGGCCCATGAGTGGAACACAGGAAGAAACTACAAGGCTTGCTCGATGGTGCAGCTTCAAGTCACATTTCCTCACAGGTCTTCACATACAATCAGGATGGAGACTAACTTTCCTTTTCCTTGCCCCCTCCCATAACTTTCAGTCCTTTACTCTTATTCTTTCCTGAAAAATAACCCTCAGTCCAGCCCGGCTGACATGGCTCAGTGGTTGAGCGTTGACCTATGAGCCAGAAGGTTACAGTTCGATTCCTGGTCAGGGCACATGCCAGCGTTGCGGGCTCCATCCCCAGTGGGGGGCAAGCAGGAGGCAGCTGATTGATGCTGATATTTCTATATTTCTCTCCTTCTCCCTGCCTAAAAAATTGAGGATTAACCAAAATAATCCTCTCTCTCTAAAAAATAAATAAAAACATAGTTTTTTAAAAAATACCCTCAGTCCATCAATCCTGCTCCTAGGTATATAACAAAAAAGCTGAAAACTGGTACCCAAACAAATGCTTGTACCATGCACATTTACAGCAGCTCTAGTCACAATGGCCAAAAGGTGGACACAACCCAAATGTGAGTCAACTGATGCATGGTTAAAGAAAATGTGGTATATCCATACAATGGGATATTATTCAACCTTAAAAGAAATGAGGTACTGAAACATGCTACCACATAGATGGGCCTTCAAAACATGCTATTCCATGAAAGAAGTCAGACACAAAAGGCCCCATACTATACGATTCTGTTTATATGAAATGTCCAGAATGAGCAAATCCATAGAGACAGAAAGTAGATGAGTGGTTGCCAGGGGCTGGGGAGAGAGGGAAATGAAAGCAACTGGTTAATGGGGCACGGGGTTTCATTTTGGGGGTGATGAAAATGTCTTGGAACGAAATAGAGGTAGTGGCTGTACAACATTGTGAATGCACTACATGTCACTGAATTGTTTACTTTTGAAGGTTAATTTTATGTGAATTTTGCCTTGATTAAAAAAAAATTGTTTTAAGTACTCAGTTTGAGTGGTCACCATGGCAATCAGAGATTCTCTATTTCCCAGAGTCCCAACAGACCACTCCCCATCTCCTCCAACCAAGTTGCCAGCTGAGGGACATGAAAGGGGAGAAAAACAAAAAACAAGCGGTCTTCAACATGGGGTCATACAGCAGAGGTCTTTGGCAGGAAAAACAAAAACCTGTGATTCAGTGACCTCAAGTGGTAAATTGCTAACCCTTTCATCAGTGGAAGGAAAAGCAGTCCCGATACTTCCTCCAATGCCCCAAACCAAACGGCAACAACGCCCCCAGCTCCCACATTCTTTCCAACAAAGGAGGAAAAATGAACCTGTTTTCCCTTGGCTAGCTTGGATATTATTCTTCCCTTCAAAGGGT